CGAAACTAAAAAGATAAAATTTTGTACAAAAGGAAATATAAAAATAATTGTATATGGATCTTTTACAATCAAAATTTCCACTTTAATTGGATGTTCTTTTACAATTTTGTTGGAAAGGTTCAGACGAATCGATTAAAAAATTGATCGAGGAAAAAAGAAATATAAAAATAATTAGGGATACGGACCTTTTAAAGTCGTAATCTCTGCTTTGATCACGATATGAGTTTCGGCCAGTTGTTGTCTGTATAAACAATTTTGAGATGGCAACGCCACGACTCTCGCCTGTTTCTCGGACGCCAACACGACGAATTGACGATCTTCGAACCCGTCTCCTGTACCCGCTTGCGTATTCATCGACGGAGACATTCGGCTGTTGGTGCATTTACCTTGACTTCCTGTCAGAAGAAGAAGCATAAACAGTTTCCTATACAATACACCAGAACAAGGTTTCTAAACAAGACACTTTAAATTTATAATCACGTGCAACGATAACGTACTGTTGCGCTCCTTGCTGTCCATACTGTCGTCTTTCCAAGACTCGTAAGAGTATGGAATCAGCGCACCGTTACAATCTAAGAACGACATCGATAGAATGCATCCTTTTAACTTAAAGGTAGATCCATCTGTGGAAGAACGATACGAAACGAAACTGTTACCATTTTACTTAAATCGCTTCGATAAATTTATCGTTCGAAACATTTTAACGATTGATCCAACTTTATCCAAAGTAACATTTATCATTTTTCGAAATTTGTATTTATCTTCCAACTGCTTTACTCTTTTTCAATTTATGATGGCACACTTACTGCACGTAGAAACAACGACTGGATGCGCGTGTCGTTCCCCGCGAGCCGGTGTGTTAAATATCACCGTTTGTATAGATCCTAGGGAAGTACCGATCCAAAGCGTTGGTACCGGGCTGGTGTCTTGATCGGCGAGGGGAAAAAAAAGAAAAAAGAAGAAGAGGAGAAATAAACGAATAAATAAATTTAGAAGAGAAATCATGCGAGTTATATATCATCATATATATATATATATATAATGGAACGTACCGCTCTTTTTCGTGTAGGAATCTGCGAATGTAAGGCAGCTGATGGTTTCGGTGGTGATATTCTCGAGCGACGACATGCTCGAGCTCCTCGACCGTTGAAACGAACTGTCGTATTTGTCTACCCGACCAGCAATCCCGAGAATAAATGGAAAAATTAAGATTACCGTGAAAACCGTATTATCAAACGTAATATTATTAAACGAATTAAATAATGGACACGACGAGCATGCAACACTTATAATCATCCAATAAACATCCCCGACGAAAATTTAGCCAATTCTCTAATGAAAATTCTCTAAGGAAACTCGCTAAGGAAGAGATCGGATCAGAAGTATATGAAAAAAAAAAAAAAAGAAAGAAAGAAAGAAAGACAAAAAGGAGAGTCGAGATGATATATTTTTCGGATAAGACAGACAGAGAGAGAGACAGAGAGAGAGAGAAAGAGAGACTGATGAGAGAAATATAGCAATAATTATAAAACAACAATAATAATAATAACAGCGACAACAACAACAACTATCACGACTAGTGTTAGTATTTCTCTATATATATATATATATATATANAGAGAC